TCGGGGGGGGCGGGCTGCAGGCCGAGGCTATGGCTGGGTCCCAGCCGAGAGCGGCCCATGAGTGCTGGCTCCCTTCTTCCAATCCAAGACTCGGTGTTGGCAGATGCAGGGCACAGGTGGGGCGTCCATGGCCGCGCGGAGTGTGAGGCCTACGGGGGACACGAAGGTGGCAGCTCTCACAGCCGGCTGCTGTGCGGGTCTCCGGAGGGTCACAGAAAGTGTGAAGAGTGGCAAGCTACGTGTGTGTCACAGTTTTATCTTTTTTTGCACCAAAATAAACTCGTCCTTTTTCCCCTTCTTTTAAGAGAGATTTCTGCTAGAGAGTGAGTGTGCTCGCTGAAGAGACAGAAACAGAAAGCGAGAAATCACCCTCGGGGGCATGGCCACACTACAATCCCTTGTCCTCCATTTTCCTTAGGATTTTGGACACACACACACACACACACACATGCTCCCGGCATAAGTTTAAGCCTCGGGTCTGGGACTTGAACTGTGGTCGACTACGTGGGAGTCCAACAATGGAACCATTAAACCATCTGCTGGTCCCAACTAGACTCATTCTTCACTTCCATTTTTCCTGAACGTTCCGCTCGCACAGGTCTGCGACCCCTTGCTGAGGACGCTGGGCCACATTGCTTCAGAGCTCAGAACTGTTCCCGGGTTGGCAGTCACACGCATGCACTGCGGAAGACCGCGCCCGCCGTTGGCAACAGAGCCTCGGAGTGGGGTCACCCAGCAGGGCAGACAGCTCGGGTGTGGTCTGAGCACCTGCGTGCTGAGTTTCCGAGTGTGCGCAGGGTGGACAGCGTCTGAGGCCCGGTGCCTGCCCCGACCCTCCTCCCCGTGCGAGGGGCAGGCGCGCCCTGAGCCCTGATGTGGTGTGGCCCCCATACAGGGGCCGGGCTGAGGCCGCGGGCCCAGGTACCCCTGCAGCCCATCCCACTTTACAGGGAGGGTAGTGCCTCCTCCATTCTCCCTGATCCTTCCTGAGGAGACGTCTCCCCGGTGCTCCGTTTCCTGCCGCAATCCCCCTGAACGCCCGGCCGCCCCGTTTACCTGCAGGGCACGGCGGCCAGGCC